GCAAGCCCTTGGAGTCCTAACCCAAACTGCTGCTGATTCTTTTTTTACCTATAGCATATTTTCTTTTTAAACATTTCCCATCCTCTTACAGAGTGAATGGTTTATGATTTCTATGTTTGGTAATTTCTGTATTCCCCTATTCGATCTTGGCTGCCATCAGCAGGCGGATAGAAAAGAGTGAGAAATTTTATTATTGCATCTGTGATATGAACCCAAAACCCAGACAATTATATTTTCAAAACAGCTCAACCAAGTCTACTTGGCCTGGCCCCTGTGTGTACAATTATTAATCACAGCTGCCCTCAATATCAGAAGCCCAAAAAATGAACTTCTATCCAAACCTGGATCTCATACCCTTTTTATGACCTCCAAAGCCATCAAGCTCTTCAATCTATTTCTCTTTCACAAACCCAAATCCTTTATTCCCAGCTCATCCAGCCAGATATAGTGTTTGTTGTTGTTATTGTAAGCTGTTGAGCTGGAACCAACCAAGAGCTGGCCTTCCAGAGGGTTTTCAGAGACAGTAAATCACACTGGAAGAGACTGTCCATCCTTCTCCTTTGGAGCAGCTGGTGGATTTGAACCACATACCTCTGTGATTCCAGTGCCGCTCCTTCCCACTAGGCCAGCAGAGCCCCATCTCTGCAAAACCCTCAATCCCACTACTCTGTTATCTGAAAATCTGGAAGTGTCTCCCTCCTCAGACATGCATTCTTGTCTAGAGACACTCAATCTCACACTTACTTCTACCACCTATAAGATACACCCATCCCATCTACTTCTGAAGAGTTCATAGGTGGCAGTTCTGCAAAAGGACATTCTACTCTTCCTTCTGCAGGTTATGCTATCCTCCAATATAACTACAAACTTCTCCTCTTCATTATCAAGGCCAAGGCTCTCGACCCCCCAAACCACCTCATAACAAGCAGAACTTATAGCCCTAACATGAGCCCTAAGCCTATCAAAATAACCAGATAATTAATATTTACATAGATGCCAAACATACCTATCATATCATCTATTCACATGTACAAATCTGGCAATGACATCGTTTCCTAACTTAAAAGGGATCCCCAGGCCTCAAGGCACATTGCATCAAACTGCTCTCAGAGAACACCCTCTTATCCCAACAAGCCATGATCCTCCATTGTCATGGGCATCAAACAGATGACAGTCACGTTACATATGCACATAACCCAGCCGATAAACTGGCTAAGCCAGGAGCTACAAAATCTTCACCCACTACCTCCTTGGAGGAACCCATTTCTCAACACTCATTGCTGTACCCAGAGAATGAGTTGGGTGTATTTATAGCAGAAACAAAACAATGTACTCTCCCCATTATGGACAAGACCTTTCATGGACAGGAAGCATACTCACCACCACAAGAGTTGCAAAACTAGATAATCACCTCTGATGAGTACACATTTCAGCCCTAAAGCTAGCTACTTCATCTCCATATCCTTATTCTCTTACAGGACCCACAAAAATGAAACTCAAGAGAACTAGCAATATACGACCTCCATGAAGCTCCTTTTGTTCGCCTTCTATCTTCCTGGATCATGCCAACCTCTTTCAATCCCTCAATTCCTATAATACTCCTCATAAACAGTTTCTCAAAATTACTGTACCAGGCAATCCTACCCTCACCTCCTGCTAGGTATGCATACTCACTTCCAATACAGAGTGGCATGTTAGCCCTTTCTGCCTATGGGTAAGCACACCAGCAGTCATATATTGATCCTCCTGGAAAAGAGAACCTATCTGTTATAATTACAGACCTTCTGATTCTAGTGCCAACACCTTTAAGTTTGCTACAGACTCCCTTCCTAGCTTCTTCCAATAATTCACAGCACTACCTTCCTCTACATCAAACCCTCTAAAACTCGGTAATACAGCCACCTTCTTTCTAAAACATGGGCTGCTTTCTGTATCTCAAGACAATTTCCCTCTCCCTTTGGGCACATCAGTCAGAACACTTGAACCTGAACTGTGCCAATATACCCCTAACCCCTCAGCATTGTCTATAATTAACTCTCAAGCAGAAAGCTCAGCCTCGGGCACATCATGGATAAATTCTAACCCTCCCTTTTACTATCAGACACTCTTCCTTACTTAGCACACCCATCAATACAACTATGATCCCATCTGCTTTTTGCCAAAGACAAACTTCTAGCCTCACTATATTACTCTTAAGCCTCTCCTCTCCTTTTCAACAAACTGACTGTTAACTCTTGTTATTAACCAATTCCTCATGCATTTTAATCCATCATCCATCTCTAAAGCTCATACAAAAAAGACCTTTTCCATCTACCATTCAGAGCTCTCCTTTTCAAACCCTTAACACAGCTATATTGGCCTCTTCCTTTAAATCCTATAAAAGAAAGCAATATTCTAATACACTCCGGCCCCTACTTTGGCATAGGCTGCCTTGCACCAGAAGGACTTGTCCTCCTCTGCGCGATCCATGTACTCACATACCTCCCAAGCAACTGGACTGCCACCTGTCTTCAAACATTCCTCATTCCTCCTGTTTCCTTTGCCTCTACAGACATTTCCTTCCTGGTGACACTAACCTAACCTGGCCGTCTCATCTGGACACCAGTCCTCACTCTCATCCTTTTAAAATTCAGAATCTCCCTGCTATTAGGTGCTTCCATCCATCAGTTCCAGTAATAACCCACTACCTTCAGAAAGGTGGTACAACAATGACTGTCTTACAAGATCAAATTGATTCCTTAGCAGGAATACTCCTTCAAAACAGAAGAGCACTTGACCGTACGCCACAAAGGTGGACTCTGTACCTTCCTTGAAAAAAAGACTGTGGCTTTTACACTAACAAGTCCAGAATTGTCTGAGAAGGTATCAAAAAACCAAGACTCAGCTAATTGCCCTGCTTCATCCAGAACTGCATGGGCCCCTTCAACCCTATTGTCTTGTATCCTCATGCCATCTCCCTTTCTATTTGTCTAGGCCTCCTTATAATCCCTTGCCATAAACTGGCTCCAAAAGCTTTTGCAAGAACACATGGCAGCAATTTCCTGAGCCACTACTAGTTTGCATCTAAAAGCCATCCTGTTATTGTTCTACTCACAAAGTCAAAACTGTCCTTTGCTCGCTTCTCCCCACTCCTGTCCACAAAATGTGGAATGTTAGGTCACACCTGGAGAACCTGTCCCTGTATGCTTTGCAGTTTAAAGGTCTACTTAGAAACAGGTTGTTCTGCTCCATTCCTTCTTACCAAGGAAAGCTCCCTTTGTACCATTCCTGCCCAGTGGCCTCATATCCAACTCCTGTTATTGTATAAAAGCACCCTTGCATTTCCCATTGCTGCTCTTCTCATGCAAACACACTGAGCTCCTCTAAAGTCTGGCTTAATAAAGCTGGCTTGGTCATGGTGGTCATGTCTATGGTGGTCCTTTACTTCTGCCTCATCTTACCTGGAATTCCCCCCAGAGGTAGCATTTACTGTTACAACTTTTGTTGTCATCCTGTATCAGACCCCAGTTTGTTGTCAGGACGTTGTCTTCCCGTGAGTAGTACTCAGTAACAAACCACTGCATTTTAGATGGGCAGTGCTCCTATCCACCCTCCAGATCCCTTCTAGCCTAAAGCCCTTCCTCCTGCCATGTGTTTCCCAGTTTCCTTTTTTGTTTAATTTTTTCTCCATCCTTTCTCTTCACCCTATCACTCTTGGATCATAATGTAAAAATCTTTTACCATGTCAAGAAATTATTAAAATGTAGGTACTTTGACTTCTTTTTAAAGTCACACACACACACACACACACACGATCACTATCTTGGAGGGTAAGGGGAGAATTTCATGGAGAAATACAGTGAATGATACAAAAACTTGATAATAAACAAAAGAACAAGATCTTTAAAAAAACCCACTTTTTAAAGTGGGAAAAATTTACAAGGAAAAGAATAAAAACAAAAACATAAGCAAGCTGCTGTTTTCTTTTTATGTGCCTTAAACTAGAAAAGGACTACAAGACTGTTGCCTTGCCAAAAATGAGACACTGTTGTGTTAGAAGCCATCAAGTTGACTGTGATTCACAACAACCCTGTAACAACAGATCTGAAACTTGTTCGATCCTGCATTATCCTCAAGATTTCTGTCATGCTCAAGCCCACTGTGGCAGTCACTACGTCAGTCCATCTCATTGAGGATTTTCTTCTTTCTCTGATCCTCTTCCTTTCCAAACATGATGTTTCTCTTGAAAATAAGCCTAAAGCCATACTTGCTTCTAAGAAGCACTCTGGTTGTACTTCCTTCAAGACAGATTTACTTGCTGTTATGGCAGTCCACCTTCTATTCAATAATCTTCACCAACACCACAATTCAAAGGCACTGACTCTTTTTCTGTCAGCCTTATTCACTGTTCAACTTTCAGATTCATAGGAAGCAACTGAAAACACGAAGACTTTTATCAAGTACATGGCAAGTCTTTAAACTGACATACAATTCATCAATGAATTAGGCAATCGATATCTCCTACAGACTGGTCCCACCTGCTTTCCAACATTATTTCCATTTTTTTTTTGTCCAATCTGACCTTCCCAGAAGGTCTGGCTCCAGCAGCCTCACTTATCTACAAAGGCATTTTTAACTTTTGTTGTTTTGAAGTCTTTATGTATGATATACAGATTCAAAGTCTGATAATGTAACCCATGTTGCCAAAACAAGAAAAGAAAAAACAAAAATCCACCACCATGGCCTCAATTCCAATTCACAGATACCCTATAGGACAGAATAGAACTGCCTCTCTGGCGCTTTTGAGGTTGTAATGCTTGACAGATGCAGATTCCTTCACCTTTCTCCCAGGATTTGACCTTTGTCAGCAGATCCATGTTCAGCCCACAGTGCCAAGAGGAATGCCAGTACTTATGACAAATCTATCAAGCAAGCCTTGTGGAATCTATAGCGTCTACTTCTGAAAACTGTCCACCGTTCCTCCCTCCCCCCAAAACCTGGGATAGCTTTTCCTTTCTCACCCCAAGATGGTGCCCTTCTGATTCAGGCAGCAGCGGGCACTTAATATTAGCTTCGGAGTCTGCTGACAAAAAAGAGCCACTTCGGACAAATTTTGCACAGTCCCTGGACACTGGATACATATCTGCAGAAGAGAGAAGACTATTAAGATGACCCTAGAAAGAAAAGCCAAAAGGAGTTCAAGAATTAACACTTTCCCAGGCTTCCTCTCATAATAGGCAAGGAAGGGGCTCAAGTTCTACCTTTTTCAAGTGCGACTAGGACATTTCTTTTCTAAATGTAAATCAGGGCACCTAAGATCTTTTATTTCCAGTCCCCACCCAAAGATTATCTTTGAAGCATGTTTATTATGCCCTTTCCAGTGACTTCCCAATCCGAGAGGTCGGGTTCAGCCTGGTGTAAAAGAACAAGGTACAGAAAAACCTCATCAAGCGTTACAAACAGTCCAGCCCAGCTGCCGCACAAAATCCAGCGTTCCCGTGTGGACAGTTTAGAATGGTCAGAAAACTCGTCTATTGAAATATTAACATCAAGCTCTTCAAAGATTAAGAGAAGGTCACATTTCAAAGGTCTTTCAAGGTAGGCAGGGCGGGGGCGCCGGGAGGGAGGCCTGCACAGAGTTATCGTGATCGCTGGTGAGTCAGCCCGGTGGGACTAGAGCCCGGAGCCGGAGCCGGACGAGGCCTAAGGGACCAAATCCCGGGAGCAGGGCGTGAAAGCAATACATCGGCTTGCTAGCAATTCTGCTTCGGCGCCACCTCTTAAGTTGTTCCTGTACCTCGGGTAGCGCCAAAACCCTCTCCACGCCCAGAGCGAGGATCAGGGCGGCAGCACAGGGCAACAGGTTCGCAGTGGTACCCGGCCTGCGAAGCGCCATTTTCCGGAGCCTCGGTGCATCTCAGCAACTGGAGAAACCTGAGCCCGTAGCTCCGCCCCTCGTGCGTCACGCCCACGCTCGGGGGCGTGACTGGGTCAGCCCAGGAAGGTAGTGTTGGTCTGCGCTTTACTGCGTGCTCCCTCAATCCTCCTGGGGAAGATCACTTGGCTCCATTTCTTTTTCTCTCCTATGAGAAAAACCTTCTTCTCTCCCTGCCTCTCGGCTCCTTTGAGCGGCTTACGGACTCCTTCGACCCTACATCTAAGGAGCCTCTACGTCGTGATCCCGTCTCAGAGGCTCCGAGACTATTCCATCTTCCCTCAGTAAACATGGCGGCCGGGGCGGGCAGTGGGCGGAGCCAGATGTCACCCAGTTCAAATGCTGCGGTGACTCTCCGGCCGCTGCGGGACCCACGTGTGGAAAGCCTACAGGTGGGCTGTGCGGGAGCTGGTGGGAGTGTAGACACTTCGTAGAGGGACAGTGAGGCAGGTGCTGGCCTTGGGAAAGGAGAGGGGCGGAGCGAGCCGCCCTCCGCATGGGACTCGGGAAGGTCTGCGGGACCAACAGCTAGGTGGTCGTGTGGGCACTCCACACTGAAGAGGAGGGAAACCCAGAAAGAAAAAGTAAGAGTGGTGGAAGGGCGAGGAATGAAGGGAAGAGTCGGACAGAAGAGACGAGCCTGAGGACGCTGCGGGCACCCAGTCCCCTTCCCTTCAGTCCTGAGATCGCGCGGCGTCCCTGAACCCTGGCTAGGAGGAGATGGGGACGGAATGCACACTTCCCTAACTCCTCACCTGCTTTTGCCTTCCCAGAAAGAGTGAGCAATGATAATCCCAGGAAGACTGAAAGGACCTTAGCCCTGGCTGAGCCACAAGGTAAGGGGAAGGGAGAATGTTAGCCCCAGGGTGCTCTGGGTTGCCCCACTGCTGGGGGAAATGAATATTGTTGTGATTTTGGCCAGGCAAGAGCACATCAAAGCTAACAGAGGCAAACAGCCCACATTTCCCTGCTTCCTTATATATTTGACCCCTTTCAAATACCACCAGGTATCTGACATCTTAAATGGTATTTCGAAGATGTTGGTAGTTAAAAGATCCCTGAAGCTTTTCAGAGCATGGAGAATTCTAGGCATAGATATTTGAAAGACATCTTTTTAATGGACTGTTAGGAGTTATGGCAATCTACTGCAGAGTGTGACTAAAGTGAAAGATGGGGAAGGGGGAACAAAAAGTGTCTCTGCCCTTTGTGTAGGCATTTTTGAGGGGTGCCCCACAGACTGCTGGTGGTGCCCAGTGTGTTTTGGTTTTAGAGGCCAACTCAACTCTCACTTTGGCTCTGAGGACAATGTAAGTTCATGGGGTCAGTATAGAGTTTTTAGAAAGCCACTGGCTTCTTCTTAGAATTGTGCCCAGTGAAGTCCTTGTTACTAGGTCAGCCATTTTCCCTCTTTCCTGGCCTTCACATTCTTGCACTATCCAGAAAACTTCTTTCATCACATGTAAATACCTTCTATCAGGAAGCCCTGAAACTTCATTGTTATGTTGGAACTGACTCAGAGTTCACTCTCCCGCAGGTTTAAGGAGGCTATAAATCACACTGGAAGAGATTGCCTAACTTGCATTAGCAGAGCTGCGGGTGGATTTGAAACACCTGTGAGGCCACTTTGGGCTAGCAGCACAACTCCCTAAAGACTGCCCCAAGGATTCCCTTTCAGAAGTAGACTATCTCTGTTTCTGGGCATTGTGTACTCCCAGTCTATTCTGGAACTTCTTTCCACTGATCACCTGTTCATCTATATATTTTTTTTATTTTAATTTTATTTTATTATTTTTTGTGTGTACTGTCAAATCAGATCTGACTAGTACAAGTGGAGATTACCTCTCCTTCTCCAGGAAAGCATCTGGTGGATTCAAACCGCACGCCTCTGGGATTTCAGTGCAGCTTCTTGCCACTAGGCCACCAGAGCTCCCTGCCCATCTATTTTAAAAGTTTGCAAATTATTTGCCTGCAGCAGTTCCTGTCTCATCTTCACAATAGTTCACATCACCTTTATCATAGCAGTAAACATTTGCCAAAGAAGAGTCAGGCTAAGTTGCCTTTTCAAAGACCCAGGATGTCTTTACCAGAGTAGCTTTTTGGGAATGTTGTTCAGAGACTGACATCTGTTACTCTGCAGAACAGGATCTCAATCATTGTCAGCTCTTCTTTTTCTGTTCATGGGCTTTAGGAAGGTCAGAGTTCAGGTTTGGACTGTGTCACCAAGATAGGGCTTTCTATCTTGCCAACTACACAACATCTGGCCAAGTGCACAGTGTGGGAGAGGCTGAAAAGAGATCAAGAGCACAAGTAATCTCTAGATTAGCTGAAGTCTAAACTCAGTTCCATGAATGACTGACTGCAGTTAACCCGCTTCTACTGCCCTGGCTCAGAGTAAAGCATGAGATCCAGCATTACACTTGCTTCCTTGTTTTGTATCATGCTATATGATCTTTATTTTTTAATTACATGTTTTTTGTTTGAGTGAAAGTTTACAAATCATACTGGTTTTCCATTTGATTATTCATATACTTTGTTTTATAACATTCATTACAATCAGTTAATGTTAGGTCTTCGCACTGGATGTAAATGCAAGGACTCAAGGAAGGGACCAGAGAAAGAAAGGAAGCTAAAGAAACTTTATTAAGGGGTCTTCCAGGAGGGATTCCTTGGTCTACAGAGAGAGAAACAGGCAGAGGGACAGACCAGGGAAATACCTCGCCCTGAAGTGGATTAGGGCAGGGTGGGGTGTTTTGAGGGGGGGATTTTTTTTTGGCAGGTTTTATAGTGAGGGTGTTTAGGGAGGGACATCCCATTGTGGTTTAAGGAGGTAAGAGTGGGGCACTCCATGGTAGTTTTAATCTGATGAGGGAGGTTGTTCACCCCCTTTGTTAACATGTTGACATTCCTTGAATCCTTTGTTCTCCCTTTGACCTTGGTTCTGGCCAGACAATTAGTGTAACTAATTTATGGATTAAAACATACATTGCCTTTCACTTCACTTAGCTTATCAATTTTTACTTCCCTATTCCTCCTCATCCCTGGTATCCAAGAATGATTGTATCTATATGTAAATGACTTAACTTTTTGTAGTGGTGATCTTCTACCATGGTATTCCTTTTGTTACTGATTTGTAGTTTAATGCCCACTAGATTAATCTATGTTATGTAGTGTTTCTGGTTGTTGGTGCATATATCTGAATGAGAGTGGTATTCAGTGGACTTCCTTTTATGGATATTATCCTGTCACTCACAGTGTTGTACTTCAAGATGGATCTCGAAATTACTTTTTTAACTATGAAAGCAACCCCATTTTTTCTTGCCTTTTCATCTCTGGAGTAATATATGATCTTCTGACTCGAAATACCCCATGCCGGTCCATCTTATCTCACCAACGCCTAGTATATCAATATTTATGCGTTCCATTTCTTTCTTAACAATATCTAATTTTCCTACATTCATGGTTCTCACATTCCATGTTCCAATCACTAATGTCTGCTTAGAACTGTTCCTCTTCCTTTGTATTTCCATACTTGAAAGCTCTACCTCAGTTGCCCTTTCTGTTAGTCTACGTGTGTTCTGTTGTACATAGGGTTTTCAGAGGCCTGCTATTTTGGAAGTGGATGGCCAGTCCTTCTTCCTAGTCTGTCTTAATCTGAATCTTCAGATTTAGAGAAGTATCAGACAGACAAGCAATTTGTAGAAAAGTGAAAGATATACCTCTCATTATGCAGTTAACCTTTAGTTACAGTGTTGTTCCTGCCCTTGGCCCAGTGTCTTGACCCTCTTATTTCCCAGCTCCACCCTCCACCAGAATACCCCTTCACTTCTACCCACTCCCTTCAGCATTTATCTTCCATTGTCCAACCCTTGATCTGATAGCTTGTATGTGAAGCTTTCTTGGCTTCTGTGATTGTCAGCTGCTGACAATTCCTTATGCTGGTAATGCAAGGGTGATGTGTCCTGTAGAACTGGTGTATAGATTTTGGCACAGCCTTAGTCCTTTTGTTAACCTGTGGGTGGGGCAAAGTCCTGTGTCCTGTCCCATTACCCAGTCCATCGCGTGCCCCCCTTCTCTATTGGCTGGCCCCTATTCTGCCTGCACAAAGAATCACTAGTTGGAAAACATGGACTTGGTGGCAGAAATGAAGCTGGAGATAGAATGATTGAATTTTGCACAACCAATGACTTAGTCATTGCGTATATGTTTTATAGGAAACATAAATGCAGGTTATACACATTAATTTCACCGGATGGTATGCATAGGAATCAGATCGATTACATCTGTGGAAAGAACTGCTGGAGAAGCTCAATATCAGCTATGAAAACTAGGCCAAGAGCTGATTGTGGAACAGACCACCAACTACTGATAAACAAGTTCAAGTTGAAGCTGAGGAAAATTAAACCGAATCCACGGGAACCAAAATATGACTTTGAGTTCATCCCACCTGAATTTCAGAACCATCTCAGGAACAGGTTTGAGGCCTTGAACACTAATGAGCGAAGACCAAATGAGTTATTGGAGGATGTCAAAGGTATCAAATCATCCAGGACGTGTGCAAACGGTCATTACAAAGACAGAAGAGAAAAAAAAGACCAAAATGGATGTCAGAAGAAACTCTGAATATTGAACTGGAGTGCAGAGAAGCCAAAACACAAGGAAGAATTCAAGATACTAAAGAGCTGAGTAGAAGATTCCAAAAGGCAGCACGGGATGACAAAGCAAAATATTACAATGAAATGGGCAGGGAGTTGGAGTCAGAAAATCAAAAGGGCCGAACATGTTCAGCATTTCTTAAGCTCAAGGAATTGAAGAACAAATTCAAACCTCAAGTTGCTATAATCAAGGATGCTTTAGGCAGAATATTAAATGATCCAGGAAGTATTAAAAGATGAAAAGAATATATTGAGTCACTGTATCGAAAAGAATTGGTAGATACAGAAGAATTTAATGAAATAACATATGAGCAAGAGCCTATGGTGATGAAGGAAGAAGTTCAAGCTGCTTTGAAGGAAATAGCAAAAAAATAAGGCCC